CAGAGGATTGCAAGCTTCACCACACATTCCACATCAGCCAGTTAAAGAAACACATCGGCCCTACTGCTGTTCCCAATCCCAAACTTCCATTGATAAACCCAGATGGCACAATCCTACTGGAACCAGAAATGCTTCTGGAAAGGAAATTGGTTCCTCGAACTTAGGGGGACATCGACATACCAGTAGTACGCTGGAAGATCAAGTGGGTCAACTTGCCATTGCAGGACGCCACCTGGGAGGATGCTCAATTCATTCAGAAGGTGTTTCCTTCCTTTCAGCCCTGAGGACAGGTCTGGTCTCACACGGGAGGAATTGTCAGGACCCAGTTGCTATGCTCTCTCTGTTTTCGTGATTCAGTTGAATTCAGACTCCTCACCATGGGCGTGAAGCTGTGGGAACCGTCCATCCTCCATCCAACGCTCCTGGTGGCTTCGTACCGCTTCAGCAAGCTACAGAAGTCGTGGTGCGTTGATCTTCCATCGGATGGCTCTGGGTGGTCAAGGCGTCGTTGTTGATCTCTCTGGAAAGCTCAACCACTCCCCTCTCCTCCATGTGCGCTTCTCGCACCTTCTAGAGTCTTGTAAGGCTATATAGCCAGGTTTTGAGAGCCTGCGTGCTCATCTATTATTCTCCCTTGGGGTAAACCCTAGCCGCCGGTGTTCCCGGTTGGTCTCCTTGTAACCAAAACCCTAGCAAAACTTCCCTCTGAAATCAAGCTGTGCTAGTGACATTCTGTGAATTCTGAGTGCGATTTCTGAATTTAGTCCGTCAGACAACTCGGGTCTGACAGAGGGCAGGCCAGGCCGGGGTCGCTCGACGGGAGGCGGCCGGACTAGCAATGGAGGCGCGGTGGAGATCGGAGGAGAGGGCGGCTCGGGCCAGGGTCTCTTGCGGCTGGGGGCGGCGGCGGCCTCCTGGCGGCGGCAGGAGTGACCGACGGCCCAGGCGGCGGCGTGCATCGTGCGAGAGAGGGGATCGAGCCAAGCCAGAGCTGGCTAGGCTAGTTTATGTCTGTAACGGCTGGGCTCGCAAGCCATCCCGAGCCCAATATGGCGTTTCATCCCTACAAAATTATACGGATTTTTGAAAAAACCCAATAAATCCTGAACGTTCGCATTTTAAGCATGTCACTCGGACCTCATGTCAATTAAGGTTACCATATCCGAACATTCAGAATTTATCATTTTTGAATAACAAAATATGGCCAGGTCCAACTATTCATCAACCACGGTTAACAATTCATGGAGTGCTCCAACTCAAAAGATTAGTTTATTGATTGACCAACCCTTCTGAAACTGCTAGGCAAAAGAGCAAAATCGTCCTAAATATTATGACGTGTAGGCCCTGACCTGAAAATTGAGGGGAAAAGTCGATTTGTGCTATTTTAGTTTGCCATTTAATCTAACAAAAAGAAATGTGTGCCATTTCAAGAAAAGCGTGCCAGTTTAGCAAATTGCTCTATCTTCGCAAGCCGAGCTAGAGCCAGCCTCTGCTCGAGCTTTCCAGAGTCAAGCCGTCAATTCCACCTAGATGCCACTACCCCATGACTGTCTGTAGACCCTTGTGTTTTGATGCTGCCACTACGGCCTCCCCTTTGCTTTGCTCGTCCATTCAAGACACCACCTCCTCTACGTCCAATCATCATCGGTTACCACTAAATTATCTGAGTCGTAGATACATAGCAGTAGCTAATCAGCTTGGTTTGGAGCATCTCCAATAGATAAATTATACAACATCTGATTTTACGTCTTTAAATTTGCATCATCTATTGAAGATGCTCTACAGAAAACACAACCCAAAACATGGGCCTTGATAGAACCACAAAATGGAACCAAAAGAACCCTATATGGATTAAGGACAAACCCTTCGATCCACTAATAACAGCTAACACACAACGGAATCTATTGCTCACAGCACAAAACAGCACGCAAACTCAAACTCGGAATTCTCACTCGCCTTCACAGGGTATTCGTGCCAATACTTACACTAGACTCTAGTAGAGGCACACATATTAGTTAGGCATGAGTACAACTTCAAAAAATAAATGATCAATCGCGAGAACCAAGCTGTGGATGGAGCAAACTTGTGGAGTCTTTGCAGCAGTAACTAATTCCGATGATGGAACTTGCATAACACACGAGATCGGCTCAGGCTTAGTTCTGCCAACAAACTGAATGCGGTGGGCACTCGACGCAGAGTAGCAACCGTTGGCGGTCCATTTCCTTCCATCTGATCTCATCTTCGTGCCACATGTTCACCAGGAAGCTGAACTTGAAAACATCCTTGGGGTATGGGTTCGTCAACTGGGAGCAAATTCAGAGGTACACCTGGACGGACATGCCAAAACGAGTTAGTGTCAAACGCCTGAATGATCATGCCACATGTAATGTGAGCTCTGTAAACATGCCGTTACCACTTCTGACGCTCGACACATTGTCAATTTTGAGTTTTAGTAAGGGCGTACCCAAATGCTGAAAGCTCCCACACATTATGGACTCTGGGGAGAAGGGAATTTATAGACGTATTTCCCTTGCTTTTTTCTGCAATGAGGCTGACTTGAACTCAGGACCTACAGGACACAAGCGGATATATTTTACCACTTTTGAGCTTTATTAGTAAAGAACAAAAAGAATAGAAGAAAGATTGGCCTGCTAACCTTTTAAATGGCCACTGCAGGACTTCGGGCTCGGCTCGCTCAGAATTTCAGGACAAAAATTTCCTTCGCTTTTATTATTCAGATAGAAGAGCTATGTCCTGAATGCCAACTATGAAATACACTGTTGGTTGTAATTGTTCTGGAGGACCTGAGTAATGAACTTGAGGTAAGGAAAATGGACAAGGCAAGGGAACTCACGAATATAGATGCTTGATCATTAGCTAAAACTGTAAAGGATGCCGGTGAAACGTTGGCTTATATGCAAGAAACACCAGATGGAAAGTTGGTTACCACAGGATCATTACTTACCGGATCATAAACCTGATGGTAGCGCAGACTGATCAAGTCCATGAACAGATAATCACCATGCACTGATATTGTAAGAAATTTGCTTTATCATTAAGCGGTTCAGAAAAGGCTAAGCAAACATCGTTGCATTAAACCAACAATAAGGGAGGTCTGCTACCTAGACCATATAAAGTAACAAGACAGAGGATGAACATACCAGAGGATCAAATGGAGGCAATGAAGCTTCCCTATAACTCAGGTGATGCTCATCCAGCCAAATTGTTAATCTCTTGAAACACATGCTATCCAAGCACTAGGAAGACGGCCAATGAGTGCACAAGTGAATTGTTCAATGGTCCAAGAGAGCAAAGCACAGAACCTGCATTGTTCCTGTAACACGAAGGTTACTGATAGTTATCATTTTGCACATCAGCAGAAACAATTAATTCTTTTTAGTATGCCTAATATGTTATAGAAAAATTCTTACATGACGTTTTCAGAATATTTGTTCTGTCTCACAGTTATAAAACTTTGAAAATCTCTACCAGTTAAACACAAAATCAATGGTTAGAAATATCATGGTTATAGACATAGGATCTACCATATGCAAAAAAAAAAAATAGACATAGGATCTATAACCATGATATCACCCGCAAATAAATAAATAAATAGACATAGGATCTATGTCATTGTCACAACCAAATGAATAGTCTGGAGGAAACTGCAATCAATTCTCTAGAACAGCCCAGAATAGTTTAGGAGCCTCTTAAAAAATTTCTATCATTCCATAGAAAAAGGGAAGTTGCTTAAGAATTGTAGGGCGGCTGTATGTGTAAATACAGAAACACTGGACATACGTAGCATTGATTGTTGCGAATTATCGTGGCAAAGTGTCAGCAGCCTGGAGCCCTGGACACTGAACGTGATACCATTATAAGCTTCAGAATGCTCATACACTTGATGCTTCACAATCACAGGGACTGGAGAAATAAGCTGGATTCTACACCTTCACTTGGTATTGCCGCTTACTTGAAAGAAAGGAAAAAAAAGAGTTTTCTTCATTTTGTTGATACCTGACATCAAAAGGTAGGTGCCTCAGTTTGCCAGTGGTATAGAAGCGTTATGAGAAGATAGGTGCTACTTGATACTTACTTTTCAATCAAAATTGGCAAGCGCACTTGTTTAATAATCCCATAAAAGAAGAACTAGAGGCAAATTTGCAGAATCGATCTGATTTATTGAAAAAAAGAAGGTACAATTATTCACAGGCCTGCTTCCTGTCCTGAAAGAAGGTAGGATAATCCATTGCATTAAAATTTTGATACATGAGCTACTAGACTGCAGATTCAGAGGTGCAAATTTCTTACCTGATGACATTCGGTTAAGAAAGTAAATAAAAGTAGACATATTCATTTATAGGTCCATCAGCTGTCGCCTTAGTCTTCACATTTACCATGCAGCTAGCACATGAAGGCTGTAATATGCCATTTCAAAAGCAAGTGCAGAACAAAAGCTACCTCGCCTGTATAAGAAATTTAGTAGTTGTGGTTAGAAACAGGGAAGCTGCACAAGAATTGATTATAAGACAGCTATATGTGTAGATACAGAGACACAGAAGTCATGAATGGAATGTGAATGAAATCATAAAAATTGATGAGCAGAAATTGGTTTTCCGATACTAACTGGCAGATGCAGAGCAACGGTGCCTGGCAGCCTGCTAGTGTACATATTGCAACAGTGGAGCCGGCTAGCCTGTCAGAATTTAGAAGTTAAGATAAGCAGGAATAGTGGGGAAGCTTCAGATTACAGAAATAAGAAGAGGATGCAACAAGTGTTACCTTGGGCTGAATAAGGATAATGTACTCGTAAATTTGGGTATGTTCCTTTTCAGTTTCTCAGCTTGCTCTTTTTGCTCGGCGCTGCCAAACCGCCCGTCAGATATCAGAAGCTGTCTGCATATCGCAACAGTGGAGATTATAGAAGTTAAGATAAGGACGAATAGGGGGGAGCCACACTTTAGAGAAATATAAGAAGAGGCGACATGTGTTACCTTGTGCTAATGATAATAATGTACTTGTAAATCTGGGTATGTTTCTTTCAATTTCTCAGCTAGCTCTTTTTGCTCTGCACTGCCAAACCATAGATGTAGAGCTTGCAGCGAAGTGGGGAAGCCCTGCTCTGGCAGCCATCGGAGCTCAGGACAACTGTTGACTTCTAATTGTTTGAGAGAAGAAAGGCGATGTAATCCTTGAGGGAGGGACTGCAGAACCTTGCAGCCATAAAATCCTAGTTTCTCGAGGGAGGTGAGGAGCTGAAACGCATTCTCTTGCTCTTCCGTGAAGCCTTTTGGCCGCTTATCATTGAAGAAGCTCAGTTCATGGAGGGTGGCGGAGAGATGGGTGCAAATGGGAGCAACAAGCACTGCCAAGATGCTATCCACGTTCAGTCTCTCCAACTGGAAGGAACCCGCGTGCATTAATTTGTTCCTTGCCACCTCTGAGAGCAGACCCTCTGCTAGAGAGTTGCCGCCACTGTTCCAGACCTCCAATCTTTTGAGGTTGACTGTGATGAGAGGATTGAACCCATCCACTGTTAAATTCGCACAGTCTATTAGACCTAGATAAGTGAGAGACGTGAGGTTTGAGAGCAGAGCCATTGACCGCATGCTTGACTCTCCCGAAATATGAAGTTGACTGAGGGAAGAGGGGAAAGGGTTGGTCATCGGAGCTACTCCTGATTCTCCCATGGCCCACCGAGACAACAACTTGTGGCAGTCATACACTGCTAATGATTGGAGCGACGCGATGTCCTGGATTCCTCCTCCACCCTCTGCAGGCACAAGAATCAGGCCATTCGAGAAGGAGAAGCTAAGTGTCCTCAGTGAGCTGGATGATGGGAACTGTATTACTCGTTCCTCCTCATCTTCAGGTGGAATGGGAGACCGTATCTCCAATTCAGCAAGAGTTGGGCAACTACTGAACACTTTTGACAGCAATTTCCCAGTAAGATGAGATACACCTACTCTGAGACTCTCAACTTTATCCATGTTATGGAAGACAACACCGCCATCCAGTTCTCCGCAGAACATGCTGTCGCATTTTCCGACAGCTAGTTTTCTCAAGGATTTAAGCTTTTCGATGTTTGTCCACGAAATGTGTGATACATCTCCAACACTCATATCCTCTACTTCACCCAGATTGTGGAAGGCCAAAGCACCGGCATACTTGCTAACAACCAATTCTTTTCCATTGTAAGACAACATTCTTTCCCGCCATGTTGGACCTTTTTGTACAGCCAAATCGGTCAGTGTGGAAGTGTGAGGCATGGGGGGCAGACACAACTTGGGGCAACTATCAATGTAAAGCCTGGACAAACTGGTACAAGAACACTCCGAGAAGGGCATCACACATAGATTGGGACAATTTCTGCAATCGATGCTTTCAAGAATAGGAAACATATGGCAATTAGGTTCCACAACCCATTGGACAAGATCCGACAGGTCCTCAAACAAAAATTTCTTCAACTGCATAAAACATGTGCCTGTAAAGCCACCATAGTCCGGACCAATCTGAAGCACTCCAGAAATGCTCTTCAAGCTGAGTTCCCTGAGATATGGCAGCTGCCCAAAAGGTGGAAGAGTTCCCCAAGACAAACCGTGTAAATGGAGAGTCTTTAAATTGTTCACCAATATCTCAGGACACAACCAACTAGGACAAGCGGTACCACCTTGGTTCATAATGCGAAGTGTTCTAAGGTTAGAGTGTGGTTGAAGAGCATCAAGAATATCAGCATCTATATCAGTCGGTTGCGCTCTGCCCCAAACTAATGTCAACTCTTTCAAATCCCTTTTCAACACCAATTTGGCGCCAGTAGCTTCTTCCTTGGTTGCCACATTTTCAAGATTATTTATACAGAGTGTTCCCCCAAGCTCTCTCAATTTCCCCAACTCTCTTAAATCAAATCCAACACTTTCTTTCTTAACATGGAATTCTTTTAGCCCATGTAGATACTTCATCTTTCCAACCTCGGGAACATTGGAGTGGAGTTCTTTCTTAGCGAGAAAATCATGTAAATTCACAAGGCGGCTAATGTCTTTAGGCAAGTTAGAACTACCATACCAACTACTTAGGTCCAAGAATTTCAAGTGATAAAATCTGGATAGTGTGCTAGGTAAAGTTATTTCTCTACCATAGGGTGATCCAATTTGGAGGTACTGGAGGTGGATAAGTTTTGAAAAGCTTTGTGGCAGAGATTCAAGGGACTTCACCGCTATTAATAGGATGCGCAGGCCATTTGTTTCCTTAAACGTATCTTTTAAGATCTCAGCAATTGATTCTTCATATTGTCTAAAAATCATCAGTGTCCGTAGATTTACAATGTCTATCCTCCCCTTTAGTTTACCCATTTCTTCCCTAAAATTTTCATCATATCTATTCTGTATGGTGATGGATAAGTGCCGAATAGATTGTGGGATGGCCTCGGCTCTAAAATCTAAATCACTTATATTGAGGCATTCTTGTGCAGAGACACTCCGGGATAGCTCATGCATTAAATCATGCATTACATAGTATTTACGAAAAGGAGGATATTTAGAAACCCCCTTCATGAGAAAACCATTTTCCACTAGACCTTCCATGTAATTCTTATCGCTTGGCTGGCTAGAGCCTATGATGCCTATTGCAATCCAAAAACGATTAATTCCTGAAGTGCTAAACTTATAATCTTCAGGATAAAGGGAAAAATATGAGAAGCATTTTTTCAGATCGAAAGGGAGGTGGTCGTAGCTAATTTTCAAAGATGGTATAATATCATTATCATTTTTCTGGTTTCGCCACTCATGATTGTGAAGAACTCCATTCCAATGTTCCCGGGAAAGATTTTTCTTCAATAGTCGACCAACTGTTTTGGCTGCTAATGGGGAGCCCTTTAACTTGCTTGCAATTTCTCTTGCAATACAAGCTAACTCATCTTCATAATCCCTAGGCTTATGTTCACCAAATATACATGCTTCAAAGAATGTGAAGAAGTCATTAGACTCCAAGCCTTGCAGTTCTACTGGATCAACTGTTTTCATCATTCTTGCTAGTTTTGGGAATCGAGTTGTGACAAGTACCATGCTGCCTTTGGCCTCCCCTTTTGTGAATGGAGCTAACAAGGTTTTCCACTCATCCTCACTATCGCATTTCCATATATCATCCAAGACAATTAAGAACCTTTTGGACTTCAGTCTCTGCGCAATGGATTTTTGAAGTCTGTCTAGATTGGTTATTTCGATTGCAGCTTCATTTTCAGTTGCAGGTATGCAGTTAAGTATCTGGTTGGTGAGCTTCAACACATCAAAATCAGTTGATACACACACCCAAACCATAACAGCAAAGTGCTCTTCAGTCCTACCATCATTATACAGGTGTTGGGTGAAAGTTGTCTTTCCAATACCCCCTGGGCCAACTATAGGAAGAACAGAAACAGTTTGACCGTGATGTGTGCCACTTGTGATATCACTGACAATTTTCTCAAAAATGTCTTGCCTCCCGTGCAGTGTATCTTGTATAATTGTGGACCCTATGGGAGGCCGTTTTAGGGTGACGGCTGTGCTGCTGCTTGGAATTTTACTGAGCAAATCAGAGACGGGATCACATAGGGAGTGTATGTCATTTATCACTGACTTGATTTTGCTGGACATGGCGACTCTGTCGAAATGTAACTTATCGACATCGTCACCATTATCAGCACTAGGAGTAGCAGAGTTGGCTGTATAGTGGTGTGGGCTATTGACAGCAGCAGTAGGAGCAGAATCAGCATCTTGCGCACGCGAGCAAGAAAAGCATGGGAACCAGTTACCGATGGTGTGGCGAGCAGCATGGCGACCATGGCGAGCATGGCCGCGGAGGCCATCGCCGAGATCCGCGGCGGCATAGTCGGTGCCGTCGAGCTGGTCCTGGATCTTGAAGTAGTGGAGCTCATCCAGCACGTCCTCCGCCTCGTCGGCCTTCTTGCTCAGCTTCTCCAACAAGGCCGGCAGGGCAGGGATGTTGCTCGCGTCCCTCCCCTCGGCGAGTTGCAGCAGCCCTTGTGTGTGAAGCAGCTTGGTTTGGATCTGGTCGGAGTTGTGGCCGAGCTCGAGGCTGTCGACATACGCGGCCACCAGGTCGTCGGACAGCTTCGTGAGCAGCTTGCCGAGGAGCGAGCCCGCCGCGCCGGCGGCTGCCTCCATCCGCGCTTCCGGTTCACTTTGCCGAGGATGCGAGTGGTTGGGACTTGGTACTTGGGTGTTGTGTTGAGACAATGAGTAATACGAGTAGAGAGGACAGCTATCCATGGCGCCATATATATAGGCTGGTCGTCAATAATCCTGGAGAGACGGGATCCATCAACAAGCTGGGCTACTGATATAATTTACAAAATGATCCTTCTACTGTTGTAGTATTTAGGTGTCTCCCTCTCACTCCAAGCACCATTCTTTTATTTTTGTACTTTGGTGCCTCCGGTAAACAAATGCCATGGTGCGTATATGTAAGCAAACATGTCTCTGATGTGAAATATCTGCATGAAGTTCCTGCAACCAAAAGAAAATTTGTCTGCATGAAGATCTGTATTTCTAATGTTAAAAATACAAGTGTGATGCTACTTTAATAAAGTGTTGTCTTTTCCTCAAAAATAAAGTGTCATTATCACATCTCGAATATTGTTAGAACATTTCTTGGCACAAAAAGGAAACCAGTATTACCATTGTTAGAACATTTCTTGTCATAAACTACTTTTTGTAAAATCTCGCCTCATTAAGAAATGTTCAAACAATCCCTCAAAAAAAATGTTCAAACAAATTATATTCCCTTTGTCCAAAAATAAATGTCAATAATTTAGTACAACTTTATAAAGCTATACTAATTCAGAGACACTTATTTTGAGACGGGGAGTAGGTTCCAAGAGAAGAGAGCTAAGCTGAGCTAGTCGTACATATAATTTTCTGTTTGTCGGGTTGTATACTTTCGATCTACGCTACTCTTCAATGTTGTTCTAGTGCGCTGGTTCTTTGAGGCCTTATCACGATGATCTTCAGACTGTCTACTACAACAAGTTTTGCCCGGCTATGGCGGCGGAGGGGCGATGACGGCGGCGCGTCTTCGCCTCGCTTCAATGCTTGTAGTCATTACTAGGTAGTCTATGAATTTAGATGTATTTTTTTTATTTTTTCTGGTATTCGTTGTACTGTTGTGATTGAAAATGAATAGATCAAAAGCTTTTTTTAAAAAATCTCTTTCAAGCAAAAAAAAAAAAGCAAGCGCAACAAGGATTCTTTCTTTCGCTCCGTGCTGCATAATACGAGCACCATTGTGGAGTTTTCAGGGGCCTTCTGCCAATGTGCTTGTGGCTGTAGCTGGATCTTGTCCCTTCCGTCTTAATCAAACTTCAAAGGGACCAAATAAGGGGACAGCACCTACTGAAAGCAGTCAGGAGACAGGATTTGGATCTGGGTCTCCTTGGAGGTCATATCATGCATGAACTTTTTCTTTTTTCAAACAAACCCCCCAAATCTATTAAATGAACACCAACGGTATAAAGCACCACACAAACAGATAATTACAATCAGGTAAGGCATCTACTCATTCTACTGTTACAGTATATGTGGATTGCACTAGCCCTTTCCATCAATTCAGACTTTTGGTTGCGTTGGCTAGTGCATGAAGCTTAACATCTACTTCGTTCACCTCGCCAAGGTTTTAAGCATCCCCAACACGGACCTCTATATGTTTAGATTAGATGGTCTGCATATTGTTAGTACTTTAACATGGACACCCATACTGGATCGGATATAGGCTGATGCCTGAAATCTCAAATATCAACTAACATAATCTTAAGAAACTCCATATTGTTGGTAGCTGTGTGGAGGACCAAGACTTGTCTTTGCAAAGCGCTTGAGGCAGCCAAATGAAGTAGAGTAATTTAGCTTTCCTTTAATAATCAGCTGAAGTGACCAAAAACAGGGACGAACACTATTATACGTTGGGAGGAGCGACACCGACTAATAATTGGTTTGTGCGTGCCTGTGAACAGCCCCCCGACTAATAATTGGTCCTGGCTATTCCTGCCGTACCAGCGCCCTTGAACCATTCGTTTAAGCTTTGAGGAGACAGCGCATGTCTGAAGCTAATCAAAGCACTACTACTCGTACCTAAAGACGTTTTCTAATGCTTTTCGGAGAGGGGTGGGCACTGGGCAGCACCATGTGATGTGAACGGCAGTGGTAAAGCTTGCGGCAACCTTTCCTTTCGGTGCAAACACTAAAGAAAATCCTCCAACTGGAGCATGTCGGCAACAGGCAAAGTGAGATGCTTATAATGCATGCGATGTGAACGGAACCATGTCCTTCCTTTGTTAGTACGAAATCTCGGGTCGAGGTGCCTTTGACGGTGCCTGTGACCTAGAGGCGTCGGTGGTCGACGGGGTGCAGTGGACGGCGGTACCCATGAGCGCTCCTGCACTCTATCTGCAGGGAGAATACAACTGCGGCGTCACTCTTCCATTCTGCTCACACAGACCTTACCGGCCGCACCGCTGGTGGTTGCCGCGTGCGACAAGCACAAGTCCACCTGACTAGCTAGACAAACTTCCATTGGCTATTGCTTTACCTTGCAACATGCGACAAGCACAAGTCCAAAGGCGAGAACAAATTGGCAAGAGAATACAACTGCGAGTTCGTAAGGGATCTGAATAAGCAAGCAATGGTGATGAGTCATTGAAGGATACTGACGATGAAGATGGTACGGTGCTGAAAGGACAGCTGAACAAGCAATGGAGAAGCGCAATGGCAGCTGCCCTTGGGTGGAGAAGGCCTCTCACCTCAACAAACACTAACAAGGCTGCAAGGACACCATGAATTCCAAGATCCAGAGGCAAGCATGCCAATGCTGAATCTTGTGATGCTTTGGTATGTCCGAGAGACCGCCGTGCAGAGTTGGTATGTCCGAGACACCGCCATGCAGAGTTGTTATAGTTGTACGGTGTGTTTCTATATTCTGTTAGTTAGTTGTTGTGTTGGTGGCACTGTTTCAAATAGCCCGCTATAGCTCCGCTATAGCATGCTATAGCGTTTGAAAGAGGTCCGGCGCTAAGATGCTTAGCGCACTATTTAAAACTTTGAATGGTGGTCCTCTAAAGTTAACTGTTGAGTTGTAGTAAAATGACAATGTAATACTGGTATATTGCATCATCAGCTCAGTATACATCTCTTCTGTTCAGGTGTGGTTCCAATATTCGGGGGATGGATTCGTATTTGTTTATTTGATTGATTTTGATCAGGGGCTGCATCAGATGGATTCGATTTGGCGGGGTTGTGCAAGACGTCGCCGTAAGTAAGGTGGTACAGTTCTTGATCTTGTAGTCCTTGTGTTCCCCTGCTCCACGTTGTTACGCTCTGTTGGCATGATGTTTCCATTCTTGCAAAATGTTCAAGGTGTCATATCTTGAGTTTATGTGCCTCTGAACTTGCTGGTCTGTATTGCAACCTTCATATAACGTACATGAACAAAGGGAAGAGCTCATGTAATCTGCCATTCCACGTAAGTGTTGGGTCTCCTCGGTGTTAAGTTTAAAATTGTGGCCGGCCTTTTCTCTGTTCGCTAAGGATCTTCGCCACACTGGCAACCAGATCTAGGAGTGAATAACTGTATACATCTTCAACCACCACAAGTTAGGCTCAATCACTTAGACTCTCATGTTAACAAGCAGCGTGCTCTGCAAATTAAAAATGTTGAACCAAGTGGTCTTGAGAGTCCATGCAGCGACATCTCCAGCGTGGGACTCCTCGTCGTCCCGCCTCCTCCCCGCGCTCCCCCTGCATCGTCCAAGCCTCCACGGACAAGGAAGATCCCGACGCCCAGCTCATCCTGGCCACCCCTTCCCTTCCTGGTGGCCTCCCGCCACGAGCTCGAACCGGAGCGGCCCCTCCCGTTCTGGTGGACTCCCGCCTCGGGCCCGAGCCGGAGCGACCCCCGCCCATCGTGCCTTCGCCCTTGGAGAAACCTGAGCTCGTGGCACCCTCTCGGGGCTGCTCGGGCTAGAGTCCCCCTCCTCGGCTGAACCCTCGCCCGGTGAGCAGACTGGGACAGCCTCCACATGCCGTGCTCTGACCCGCCCGCCAATGCCTCAGAACACACTGGCCTCCCTGCTCGAGACTCCGCTACGTTCTCTGCCGCTTGCCACCTGCCTCGCAACTGCCACGGCCCCCAGCGCCTCGGCGCCTGCGTCTATGGTGGCTGCTTTGGTGGTGACCACACCCATGGCCTCCCACCCCCACCCACCTAGGACTGCGGCCTACGCCAGGAGGGCTAGGTACGCGTCGACTCTAGTGACTGCCTCTCGGTGCAGCGCCCACATTGACGCTGCCCGCCCGGCAGACTGCCAGCCTCCGTCTATCCCCGAGCGGGCGGAGCTTCAGGCCATGCCCCGAAACCTAGAGTCGGGTACATCAGATATTCCTACTAGTTCTTCCAATTTCTCATTTTTAGCTCTCAAGTCGGCGCCGCTCGGTTACCTCACTAAGGTTGCTACCGACTCGACGATTGTCTTCAGGAGGCAATCTGCGCCCGTGAAATCCTTGACGGGAGACTGGCCGAGACTCGCGCTCGCCTCCTCCGAGCCCCAACCCCCCAGCCCCCCAGCACTCACCCCTCCGCGGTGGATACCACTCCTTCGGCTGAGGTGGTGGAAATTCGCGGCCGCAAACGCTCCTGCACCGTAGCCCTACGTGCTTAGAGTGCCTCCCTCGTCTTGGGGTCAAGCAGCCCCCCGATGTCTCCTTGATACAGATCCTCTTCTGGAACATTCGCAGCTTTGGCCAAGATGACTGATGCCGCCAACTCATCGAGTACATGCCCGATGAAAGAACTGACATTGTGGCCATTCAGGAAACCATGTGTTCAGATTTCGCCCTCCCTGAAATTGACTGTCCGAGCCCCCATCTATTTGCCTGGCATTGGCTCCCTTCTAGTGGGAGCACTGGCCATTCGGGTGGCATCCTTTTAGGCGTGAAGGATGCCACCTTTGAGGTGGGGGACATGGATCGAGGTGAATACTTTGTTAGTGTGGAGATTTTCCAGCGAGCTCTGACTTTAAATGGGAGATCGTTATTGTCTATGGCCCTGCCGGCCACCGCCGATCGCCAGCCTTTCTCGACGAGCTTCAGAGGAAGATTGTGGCCGCGCAACTCCTAGTGGTGGTGGGTGGCGACTTCAACCTCATCCGATCGGCCAAGGACAAGAGCAACCACCTAGTCAACCTCCCCTGCATGCAGATGTTCAACGACAGCATCGCGAATCT